CTCCCCGTGTGTCACTTTCCTCTCAAAATAAATAAAAAAAAGAAATAAAATTACCCACAATAACTATCTGGTGTTATTAATACTTTTTTGATTACCACATTACCTTCTTCTTCTGCTTAAAATTTAAACTGTTTATAGCTTTGTATCTCAGTTATCACCGACCAGTTGGGTAATTTCAATATAACAAGACAATTCCATTCCATTTAATATTGTTTGTTTTCGTGAAGAAACCTCCTTCGTTTCTAAAGCTAGTAGCAAAGAATTGATTTACAAAAATATATTACATACAATAGATTAACTAACTAGATTGACTAATGACAAAAACAGGATCACTAAATCCCACGTTAGTAGAATTTAAGACATTTTATTTTATCGAGGTTGTCCCCCTTGCCTCCCCAAGCAGCAGAATATATGGTAGTCATCATCGAAAATGGCAACTAATTAGGGTTTTGAACACATTACATCTATCATCAACTTAAATACAAGAAATTATCTTTATGTATAGATGTACACCATTCTAAACAGAAATTTAAGAATGACTTTAAATCAAATGCCTGTTTACCATCTTCCAAGTATTTAGAAAATCAACTTAATGTCAATCACAGCGGCATGTAATTTCAGACTTTTTGTTGGCACTTCAATGTAACCAAGATATTATTTTTATCAAGTGTTTTACCCTGGCCACACTGAACTTCAAAAAAAACCTTTTAGTTTTTTTTTCTTATTAGTCCCCTAAATGTCAAACACCAACAACTGACATCGTTTACAGGTCATTCAACAAAAATTAACTTGGTTAGTAAGGTCAGTACTGGACTCTTCTGATTGCCTTTTTTAAGACTAGGGTAATGTGAACAATTCCAGTAACTCACCTAAACAAACATGCTTTTTCACATTAAGTTATTTGCTGTTAGAATTTCTAAAACAAACTAAAGCAGTAATGGTTAATGAGATAAAATAGCTAAAAAGTACCTTAGTATATTCAATGTTGATTATTTATTAAGCTTGTTAGCATTTCATTTTTTATACACTCTCAAAATGTTAATAGTCTCAGTGATTACAATTTATCAGGATAAAGAAAATATCGGTTTCACCTCAAAAGGTGTGGACATTAAAAAACAATCAAATTAGGAGAAGGATTTTCAAAGGAAGCAGAATAACTCTAAGATGATTGGTGTCTGAACATGTTTAAAGTGTATCCATTCTTCAGTCTCATGTGGGAGTAATAGGACAAGAGCAACAAAAAGGTCCCTGATTCACAGGGTTTTATTTTTAGCAGAATAAAGCATTGGCTTCTCTAAAGCGTCTTTACTAAACTCAAAGTCCTGAATGGTTTTAAAAGCTCAGGAAGGGGTACCTGGGTGGTGTTTAAGTTATTGAGCGCCAGACTTGATTCAGCTCAGGTCTTGGATCTCGGGCATGAGTTTGTTCCATGTTGAGCTCGAAGTTGGGTGTGGGGCCTAAAAAAAAAAAAAAAAAAAAGAAAAAAAAAGGCCTTTTAAAAAAAAGTGCATTTATCCCTTTCTTACTAAAGACGGATTTTCATGTTGTAAATTTGACAAGTGTGCATCAGTGTGCATCAATCTGAAGGGCTGAGATAAGGCATCTGTAGAGTTTAACCAATTTTTATCACCATGCATCTCAGCCTTCAGAATTGCAGCGATAGCTTAGATCTGTGAGGGAACCACAGGCCTTGGGGTGGGGGGGAGGGGGTGTGAATTACCAGCATCACCTAAACCAGGTGCATCAGAAAAGCCTGAAAAACTTAAGTAGTCATTGAGGGCCCAGAAGTAATACTGTTGACTTTTTTTTACACAGATAGTACCGATGCAGATTTTTTTTTTACGACTAACAACTTCTTACATATTTTCCATCCCTCTCTGATGAATCCCATTTAGTTACTTGCTGTTTCACACTCATTTAACGTTTCCCACAAAGGAGGTAGTAGTAGAAGGAGAGAGGGAACCAGTGGGGCTAATATAACTTGGGAAATCTGGGGGGGGTTACTGCCTTTTTACTACTAATTTTGTAAATCCCTCCCACTCGTCAGCGCTAATAAACTTTATAACTCACTCTGATTTATAGTGTGCTCTGAGGTTTTGTCCTCAGAGCCTCGCATCGAAATACACTTGTTTTTTAAGTTTAGCCTGTTTTTGAATGACTTTTGTTTTATTAAGGTCTTGGCTTCCTGCAAGATTCTGGACTTTGTGTTGTGGCTGATAAGCTGAACTTCATACGCTATCTCTCCCATTTCCGCTGTGTGCACAGAGGGGCTGATTTTGCTAAGATGAGGACCACCACAGTACGCAGGCTGCTGCCGGAGTCCTGGGGTTTCCTTTGTCCTGTGCACACCCCAGATGGGGAGCCCTGTGGCCTGATGAACCACCTGACTGCCGTGTGTGAGGTCGTCACACAGTTTGTGTATACAGCATCTATTCCGGCTTTGCTCTGCAGCTTGGGTATGTGATGGACAGTGATAAACAGTCTTGTTTGGGTGTGGGGTTTTTTTTTTTTTAATTTTTTTTTCGTTTATTTATTTTGCATTATATATATCATATACGAACGAGGAGAGAGAGGAGACACAGAATCGAACAGGCTCCAGGCTCCCCTGAGCCATCAGCCCAGAGCCCGACGCGGGGCTCGAACTCACGGACCGCGAGATCGTGACCTGGCTGAAGTCGGATGCTTAACCGACTGCGCCACCCAGGCGCCCCTGGGTGTGGGGGTTTTAACAGGTGCAAACTGTCAAGTTATGCTTCTTTGGGAACTAAGCAGGGAATTCCTGCAAGAATTCTGTTTACTCTTCTGTGCAGGAGTCGGGCTGGTTTCCTGGCTCGTCTGTAGGTCAGGTGCATTTTTTTGAGAATGAGTGAGGGAGAAATTAAATGCTATAGTTTTATTTTATTTTTTGCAAAAATAAAAATGTCAAAACGTTTGAAATACACCAGCATTCAGCATTATCGTTAATGCATTAACATTCAGCAATATCAGAAATAACATTTTGGGTCACGCCCTGTATCTGGTGACTCGACCACTGCATCTCTAAGTAGGAAACAGTGTCAGTTTGCAGGAAGACCATTAAAAAGAGGTTGTCTAGTAGTCTGTACCCTGATGTCATAAGAGACAGAGCCTTTGTTCTGGGGGACTCACAGCTGCTATCTCTGCTTTGGCTGAATGTCCTGGAATAAACACAAAAGCACCACTAGTCTTGACGCTGGGGTTACAGATAAATTTTAGCAAGTAGGCAAATTCACAGATGTGGAATCTGCAAATAAGGAGGATCAAGTGCAGTTGAGGTTTTGGGGAAAAGTTTATCTATTTACATGGTTCTAATCAAAACATAGAAGATATACATAGGAAAGCCTCTCTTATACCCTTGTCCCCCAGCTGCTCTCCCCAAAGACAGTCCGAGTCACCAGTTTCTTGTGTATCCTTGCTGAAAGGGCTTGGAAACATGTAAGCAATATAAAAATGTTCTGGTTTGGAGGCAAGATCTCTAAAATGATGAAGCGGTTGTCGAGCCTATCTGGAGGGACTTTTTAACGTAGGAGAAAGCACTCTGGTGTGAGCATTTGGTCTGTTCGCTTCCCCAGGGGTCACTCCAGTTGATGGAGCTCCACACCGGCCGTACAGTGAGTGCTACCCTGTCCTGCTGGACGGCGTCATGGTTGGCTGGGTGGATAAGGACCTTGCTCCTGGTGTTGCAGATTCTCTCCGACACTTTAAGGTGATCTTGTGTCTTTGTGAACTGTTCTGTCCCTTACTCCTAGGTTGTCTGTCCTTTTCTCGTTGTCGAGGTAGCCCCAGGGCAGCGTAGACTGGCCAGGGGGTCTGGAGGTCAGAAGCTGATTCCGAAAGTGCCTCCACATCCCCTGTATTGTCACAGTCTTGTCTTGTGCTGGCTTCAGAGGTTAGGGTCAGTGACAGATACTTTGACCTGCATGCATTTTTTTGGTAGTTTCATTGAGGCCCTAGTCTGCTAATCTTACAAATTTTTAACTTTTTTTGTTTTGTTAATACTAGTGGCATACAGGGGGCCTCAAAATACGTCCTTTATATTTCAAGTAATGTTGAAGATATGCAAGGTATACGTCACACCCTGTTACCTTCTGGGTCTTAAAAGTGGATTTCTATCTATTTATTTTTTATTATTATTAAACAATTTTTTAAAGTTTATTTATTTTTGAGAGACACAGGGAGGGGGAGGGGCAGAGAGGAAGAGAAAGGATCCCAAGCAGACTCTGCATTCTCAGCACAGAGCCTGATGTGGGGCTCGAACTCACAAACCGTGAGGTCATGACTGAGCCAAAACCAAGAGTTGAACGCTTAACCGACTGAGCCACCCAGGCGCCCCATGAAAGTGTGTTTTTAAAAAATCAGATATGGGCGCCTGGGTGGCTCAGTTGGTTAAGCAATCCAGCTTCGGCTCAGGTCATGATCTCATAGCTCGTGAATTCAAGCCCCATACTGGGCTCCGTGCTGACAGTTCAAAGCCTTGGAGCCTGCTCCTGATTCTGTGTCTCCCTCTCTCTCTGCCCTTCCCCCACTTGTGCTCTGTCTCTCTCTTTCAAAAATAAGTAAAACACTAAAAAAAAAAAAAAAAGTAGAATAACATTCTTTGACTAACTTATATTTGGAATTTTCCTAACAAGAGTTTTGGTATGAGACAATGGGCATTGAAGAATTGTTCTTTGGCAACAGGATGAATTATAGTTCGTGCTGTGGTTTATTTCAAACTGTACTCTGGTTCAGTTTTCGGTATTTTTAGTTTTCAAATTGTTCAATATAATTTTTTTTAAATTTTTTTTACATTTATTTATTTTTTTGAGAGACATAGAGAGACAGAGCACAAGTGGGGGAGGGGCAGAGAGAGGAGGAGACACAGAATCCAAAGGAGGCTCCAGGCTCCGAGCTGTCGGCACAGAGCCCGACGCGGGGCTCGAACTCACAAACCGTGAGATCATGACCTGAGCGGAAGTCGGTTGCTCAACCGACTGAGCCACCCAGGTGCCCCTGTTCAATACAATTTTAAACGTAAAGGTGTTCGAACACCACAGAGAACTCCCATCTGCCCATTACCTAGATCCACCAGTTGTTAGGTTTTGCCCCACATGCTTTATCCATTTGTATGCCCTTTATAAGCCTGTATAGTTTTTTCTTCTGAACCATTTGAGGGTGGTATACAGACCAATCCCCTTTTCCATGAAGATTGCCACCATCAAGTGTATTCTTCCTGAGAAGAAGGGCTTTTCCTCCTCAATAATCCCAGTACACTTTTCAACATCAGGGAAGGTCAGGGTGGTGGAGTCCACAGCTGACACTCAGATTATGCCAGTTGTCTCAGGAATGACTTCCACAGCAATTTTTTCTCTATCCTGGTTTGGGACCCAGTCCAGCATCATGTATTACATGTAATTATCATGTTTCTTTAGTCTCCCTTAATCATGAACGGCCCTTCAGCTCTTCGTGTCTTGACTTTTTTATTTTTTTTTAATTTTTTTTTTTTAACGTTTATTTATTTTTGGGACAGAGAAAGACAGAGCATGAACGGGGGAGGGGCAGAGAGAGAGGGAGACAGAATCGGAAGCAGGCTCCAGGCTCTGAGCCATCAGCCCAGAGCCTGACGCGGGGCTCGAACTCACGGACTGTGAGATCGTGACCTGAGCCGAAGTCGGACGCTCAACCGACTGAGCCACCCAGGCGCCCCAACTTTTTTAAAAACTACAGGCCAGTTATTGTATAGCTATCCTTTATTTATGTTGGTGTGTAGCTTTCTGATGATGAAATTCAGGATATCCTTTCAAGGGGCACATGATCTTGGGGCCCCTGGGTGGCTCAGTCGGTTAAGCAGCCAACTTTAGCTCAGGTCATGATCTCACGGTTTGTGAGTTCAAGCCCCACATCGGGCTCTGTGCTGACAGCTCAGAGCCTGGAGCCTGCTTCAGGTTCTGTGTGTGTCTCTCTCTCTGCCCCTCCCCCACTCATTTTCAATCTTTCTCTCTCTCTCTCTCTCTCTTTCTCTTTCTCTCTCAAATAAATAAGCATTTAAAAAATGAAAAAAAAAGAGGCACATGATGTTAACTTGTCCCGCAACTAGTGATGCTAATTATTATCGCGGTAAGGCTGTGTTCTCTAGGTTGATGCACTGTGCTGTTGCTAATTTTCTGGGTAATTAGTAATTTGTGGAGAGATATTTGGAAGAAGCTATGTGAAAGCCTCATCAAGTTTTTACCTGCAAGTTGGCGAATTCTTTGCAGAATTCTTACTCTCCCATTGATGATTCTTTCCTGAGGGAATGATTATTGTGATGGCTGCCCCGTGATTGTTTCCTAGCTCTATCATTCCTTCTGTGTTTGTGAGTTGCTATTTTGTAAGGTAGAGTTTTCCTTTCTCTTCCATTTATTTGTTTTTTTATTCACAGCAGCATAGATTTACAGATGCCTGTTTTATTTCATGAGTCTTCTGTTGCTTATTTTGATGCTCAAATTGTATGATTTCACTTTTTCCAGAGGTCCCTGCGGTTTTGTTTTGTTCATAAATGCATATAACAAAGTTTACCATTGTAACCATTTTTAAGCTTCTAGTCCAGTGGCATTAAGTATGTTCAGGTTGTTGTGCAACCACCACCCTATCCATCTCCTGAAGTCTTCCATCATCCCAGACTGGAAGTCTGTACTCATTCAACAGGAGCTCCCCATTTCCTCCTTCCCTGGTTGCCACTGTTCTACTTTTTTTCATGAACTTTGACTTTGCTAGGTACCTCATGTAAGTGGAATCATACAGGATTTGTCCCTTTGTGTCTGGCTTATTTCGCTTAGCGTAATGTTTCAAGTTCATCCCTGTTGCAGCCTGTGTCAGAATTTCATTCCTTTTTGGAGCACCTGGCTGGCTCAGTTGGAAGAGCATGTGACTCTTGATGTCACAGTCATGAGTTTGAACCTTACGTTGGCTGCAAAGATTACATGTATAAATAAACGTAAAAATAATTGCATTCCTTTTTTTAAGACTAAAGAATATTCCATTGGGTATACTACCACGTTTTGCTTATCCATTCGTTCATTGATGGATACTTAGCTTGCTTCCACCGTTTGTGTTGTTTTTTTTTTTTTTTTTTTTTAAGCTTATTTATTTTGAGTGACAGGGCTGAGGGACAAAAATGGGAGAGAGAAAATCCCAAGCAGGCTCCGTGCTGGAAGCGCGGAGCCCAATGCAGGACCTGATCCCACAAACTGTGAGATCATAACCTGAGCCGAAATCAAGAGTCAGATGCTTAACCAACTGAGCCACCTAGGTGCCCCAGGTTGCTCCTACCTTTTGGCTGCCATGAACAATGCTGCTGTGAACATGGATATACAAGTACCTGTTTGAGTTCCTGCTTTCAGTCCTTTGGCGTGTATGCCTAGAATTAGAATTGCTGGATCATACGGTAATTCTGTATTTCATTCTTTGATGTGTTCTGGGGGAAATCTGTAGTATTTTCTTTTAGATAAACTAAGTGTATTATATTAATTTATTCCCTGATCATCATTCTCTAGTACTAGTGATGAATAATGAACCCTCAATTCCTGGAATAAATCCCACTTGGTCATGGTGTATCATTTTCTTAATATTTAAGAAATACCAGTTAAATAGTAAACATTTATTTTTTTCTTAATAGATACATTTCTGCTTTATAAAAAGAATTAGAAAGTTTTCCTTTGTTTTCAGTGCCCTGGAACAGTTTGTAGAAATTGGGTTATCTGGTCCTAAGTCTGCTAGAATTCCCCTATGAAACCATCTGGTTCTAGTGCTTTCTTTGGGGATAGTTTCTAGATATGTTTATTTCTTTTTTTAAATTTTTTTTCTTTTTTTTTTTAATTTTTTTTTTTCAACGTTTATT